TCCTTTTGAAAATACAGTATTATTCTAACTGCGCGTATAAATCAATAAAGACCGAAAGCCATTAATAAAAAAAGACATGAATGGAGCTTGACGGCCACAAGAACAAAGCATGTAAGTCATTGAAATGATTTATCAATTCTTGTTGTATTGTGAATTTGTGTTGCAACCATTGGTTGCAACTGAACTATCAAGATTATTCTTTAAAACACGAGTATTATAACAATCCCCAGCAAGTAAAATTAAGCAAATATAGCTTGTTGAAAACCGTACTGCTATAAATTTCCCTGAGTGACGAAGGTTTTTTTAGAGATTTTAATACCAGTTTATTCTATTAGTAAATTGTGGGGAAAAGCAACTCTTTGGAATATAAAGCACTTATATCACCATTAAAGTTTTTTACACCTGTATGTATTCCGCTTTCAGGTATGAATTTATCAAGAAAATATGGGATATCTGTACTAAGTACCAGATGGCAATGAAGAAAGTCAAGTGTATTTCTTTATAATGGTCTTCCTTGTAAAAGGCAATGGCACTATTTCATTGAACATTCAAGGAACAATCACCTTTTAAAACAAATATGCACATTTTTATGCTCGAGTTACAATGTTTGATTTTGATATCTGCATTTTATGCGATTCATACCTTATTTTTAAGTGTTCCTCAAATATTGATTCAATACATTACCTCGGGCTGACCAATTCATTCCATCAAGATATTTGCTGTGTTGGTGTAATACATGTACTCAGGTGAATAAGATGCTTGTGTGATGTTACGTACTCTGAGTGGATATCCACACTGGGCAGGCTTGAAAAATATGCCTGGCCACAGTGGGATTTGAACCTACAACCTTTGGAATACTGGCCCAATGCTCTGCCAACTGAGCTATACAGTCGGGGCAGTTCGAGTATGCGATATTTCGGAACTGAGTCTAGTTCCTTCGATATCAGTGTAATCTAATAACCATGATATTTGTGAATATGATGCTTGTGTGATGTTACTCTGAGTGCATATCCACACCGGGCAAGCTTGAAAAATATGCCAAGCCACATTGGGATTCAAACCGACCTGACCGCGTAGCTCAGTTGACAGAGCATTGCCATTTGGGCTAGTATTCCAAAGGTCGTAGGTTCAAATCCCACTGTGGCCAGGCATATTTTTCAAGCCTGCCCGGTGTGGATATACACTCAGAGTAACATCACACAAGCATCTCATTTCATCATGTTCCTCCAGATATTCATACACTTCCTGTGAAAGAGCCAATTCCAAGTATTTAATCATTTCTGGTCACTTCCTTTCTATTTATGATTGGTTAGTTGCACAAACAACAAAGGTGATTGGTGCATTCAAACCATTTAACAGGAAGTTTACAATTATACTAGGAAGTGTATGAATATCTTGAGGAACTTAATCAAATGAATTGGTTAGCCCAAGGTAATGTATTGAATCAATATTTGAGGAACACTTCAATTGGAACGACAGTGAAGAATTATTAAAAAAAATATTTTATTCAAAAAAGATTTTCCAAGATAATTATATAATTACATTTAGTAATAAGAATAAATAATATATTCAATTTCAAATCACAACAAAATTTATTCTTTATTTTTAAACACATACAACACCAATTTAATTAAATAAACTGCTCAACCAATTCTATGCATGTCAATCCCTACTTGATGGTCAGCACCTACAGTAATTATGCTAGCCTAATTTGTACACTAAAACAAATGGTCAAAATAAATGTAAATGTAGCAATCTTGGCTTAGCTAAACAGACCAAAATGTGTACAAATAACTTAAAGTTGTTAGCAGAAAAATTAAGGAATAAATTTAACCCATTGAGTGGCGAAGCACCCTATTTTAGTATTTTACTCTGTCTAACGCCAGACAATTTTACTCGTCAAGGGGAGAGCACTGGCGCTTAATGGGTTAATTACCCCTCATGTACAGTATGACCATTAATTGTACTGATAATAAACTGTAAAGATCACAACCAAGCTGACCAAAGCAATCATTAAAGATTGTTGGTACAGCATATGGCTTTAACACTGGTCTCTGGCTGTAATCCTCCTCAAAGATATCGGCACTAAAATGCTTTGAACACAAACGACTATTTTTCATAGGAACAAACTTCACTCTGTCTGGCATAAGTTTGCTTATATTCTTCACCCATATGCTGTGCAATTCAGGGAATCTCTTCTCATCTGGAAAGCTTTGAAGTAAATGAACAATTGTTTTTAGTGTCTAGTTAATACACTGTTCAATACAATACCTATAACTTACAATTATTATAAACAATGCCACACTAGACAACACATGGTTTAGTCCACAATAAAGACAATACAATGAGTGAAAGGCTTTGTAAGTTTGTACATTTAAAGCTAGTCGTATCTTTATCACATTGTTAAAATTATCATTTGAATTTTTTTAACATTAAGCATTATATAATTATCCTCTGATAATTATCTGTTAGGATATCGATAAGATTTCAACACTGCATCACATCCATCAACTTGCATGGAAATAAATACTTGCTCAACAACAGCTCCACAAGCTTGTCAACATTTTAAAATTTTGTTCTGCTTTTGCACTGTAGTACACTAACATTGTATTGTATGTTGCTTGCCAATAAATTTCATGAATTCACAAATTTACGCATTCAATACAGCAATACAGCATTGCGTTAAATTATTAAAAAAAAAGATTATACGAGCCTTACGCATGTGAGGACAGGTCCTTTCTTTCAGTAGATTTTTGGCAACCAGGAATTGAACAAAAAGTTGGCATGGTTGCAAATGTCTCGCTATAAATATAGAAATTTCTGACCGAAATTTTGAATTTACCTCCTTCTGTTTTAAGCAAATTGAAAGGGGGGTGTGAATAACTTTTTTCTTCACGTTTGTATTTTAGGTCAGTGGTGTTCACCATAAATTTAGGTCGATTGTTACGTCAAAATGACGTAAATTTGGCCAAAATCCGCCATGTTTTTGGCCACACATTTTTGACTGACGAGGTATTGGAGCACGATCTCCAGATATATTAAGTATAGCTCAGTGGTTCAGGCATTCAAATTAGAACAATGGTGAATTTCTAAGGGTAGCGGGTTTTTTTGAGACACCCTGTATAGTGTCACTTTTATTTGGGACACCCTGTAGTATAAACTTCCTTGAGTGATTTGCAGTCGTTTATAACTGAATTGACTGGATTTTCTTTAACCATTTCACTATTATTGCTTTTGTTTCTATTCCCATGAGACTTTTCAATAGAAAAAAACTTTCTCCTCCAGTTCGGAAATTCGTGACTTTAAGGTCAAGTTCTCTCTATTCAATCTGCATAAATCTTGTTTACTTGTATTTATAATTTTAACTTGTTCAGAAAGATTTTCTAACAAATTTACCATTTCCGATTTGATATTTTCTTTAAAAATGAAAAAAAGTGCCTCCATTGTAACCGAATTATCATTAACACACTTCTGATATGGAGTAGAATTACCGATTTCGTGGGAAAAATTTCTAGTACAGTCCTCCCTCGGCAAGGCGGTCGCATTATAAAATGAATTGTCAATAAAATCCTTGAGCGTTGAGGTATCAGCAACCGATGCCGTGTCTTTGCTTATAGGTGTGTTAGTTAGGTCATCAAAATAAACCCTTGTGGCCCCAGCCGATTTCTTGTCTATATTGACTTTAATATGCACACTGTGCCGTTTAATGTTTAATCGGCACGGTTTTTCACTAATCAGAATCGATTAAATTGACTAAAATGATATTAACGGCTTATTCACTTTGCTTGTTCGGTACTGTGAATATCAGACCGACGCTTTTTAGTATGGACCGAGCGACGAAGGAGCGACGTTCATGCGCAAAACAGAGGTCTGATATTTCAGGAACAGAACCGACCAAGCGAGGTCAATAATCGGTTTATTATATGGCTGAACTGAGTCTTTGAGCATATGCTTTTTGCGCAAATTAGATGGACTATCGTCAGTTTCACTGGGTAACAATATACGGTAGGCATGCATGCTCAATCAAATACAATTTGGTTGTTTGAAATTTAAAGCAAATTTTTTCTGTTTGCAAAGCCAAAAAAATTCCCGCCTGATAAACGACATCCGGGACATCGGTTCAGATACGGAAACTATGGACAATGGTCCGGCTATGGGTTTTTACGGACCGCTTGTCAACCAATCAGAATAGAGAATTTTGAAAAGCGATATAATAACATCTCTTGTTGGTCCAGTGTTAAAACTACAGGAGGAAACTTAAACTAAATTCACTTTATTTATACTGGATAGCTCTATCAGTTCTGAACTGTTCTTTCTAGAGTTCCAGTAAGGATCATCTCTTATTGATCCAGTGTTACTACAAGAAGAAACCTAAACCAAACTAACTTTAATCATACTGGATAGCTCTATCAGTTCTAAACTGTTCTCCCTAGAGGTCCAGCAAAGATTATCTCTTATTGATCAAGTGTTACTACAGGAGGAAACCAAAACTAACTTTTTAAATAATGGTTAAGTGGTTAGCTCTATTAGTTATAAGCTGTTTTATCTAGAGATCCATTAAGATTATCTCTCATTAATTCCGTGTTACAAGATGAGGAATCTTAAACTATATATTTATTTTGGATAGCTGTACAGTTTTGAACTGTCCTACCCAGAGGTCCTGTAAGGGTCAATGAGAAAACGGAGTACGTGAAAAAACCGCAAAAGTCTCTGAATATTTTGAGTGAAAAACTTGAGTGAAATAATTCACCCACAAAGAATCCAAAGAACTAGTTGGCTTATTCAAGTTAATATTTCCTTAAATTTACTCAAAGTTATTGTAGGTACATGCATATTTTACTTGAATCAAAATACTCGGGGAGTTAATAGCACTATTATTGTGTGTGATCCAGGTGAAATTATAATCAGACGGTTAGATGTTACAGAAGCCTAACTCTATATACAGTAGGTGAAAAGCGTATGAACTAACCACTGGTTTTTAATTATTTATTTTGTTTCAGATTTCATATTTTTGTTAGGCAGCCTGCGTCTGAATGAAATGGAACACGTGTCCAAATTGGTAAGGATGTAACTCATTTGATTATGCAACAAAGAGGAGTGTGCATGAGAGAATCACCTCGGATCCCCATTTGTTAGGTCTACGTTGCCATTTCCTTGCGCGTCCTAATAACATTTGTAATGTAGTCTACACGATGTTTTCTAGATTAATGCAATGTGCCAAAAGCGGGTCACTCGATTTTTAAGGTATGTTACAAAATTATATATTTCCCAACATGTTTTCAACAACACTAAAATAATTGATAAATCTAACCATTGGTCCCTTTTACTATATCAAGAATCACTCGCTATTCAAAGATATAAACCTGAACTTAATCATGGACTTAAAGCTTCTAAAGAACTAACCATATTTCATTAATTCGTTAATAATCAACCTAACTATTGTATCATATTTCTTCATATAAATACCGCTTTTGATATATAACCTAGCTAGTTTATCCTGATGATGACTGAAATATAGTCGAAACGTAGATAAATAAAAATGTTATCGATTTTTGGAGTTTCACTTGTTTTGTATTCCAACATATATATGTTAGGTATGTTATTATACGTAATATAAGCATCAATTTAAGGTAAGACTCAACCACAAACGCTTCGCAAAACGTTTTAAAGTCACTAGTGTTCTTTATAAAAGTAAACTGCCTTTTGAAATGGCTTTATCGATAAACTTTTGCAATAAAGCGATTTAAAGTTCTCGCTTGCAAATAACTTTGCTTTCTTTTTTATTTAAAAAATTCAATATCATAAAAAAGGGAATCAATAGAATTAAAGATACACTGAAATTATAAGCTGTCTTGTTTAGTTGTTTCATAATCTTGTTTCATAATCTAAGTCTTGTTTAGTTGTTTCAAATGTGTCAATGTGAGAGTGCTACTGCTCAACGGATTAATCAGACTATCTAATGTACTTTACTATCTTACTGCGTCTAATGCCAGACTATTTTGCTCATCAAGGAGAGTGCTGGATCTCGATGGGTCGACTAGTATAATTGCAAAGTAATTACTTTGGACAAATGTATAGCTTACATAATTATATATGTTCACTACATGCATAAATGCAAACATGTAAATCAATTCAAACCATGTAAATTCACATTAGAATTGGTACATTTAGACCAAGAGAATGAGCATAAAAACCTGAGATATTATGTGCATCAACCCCATGCCACCCCCACCCCCACCTTAATCTTAGTATCCCGAGGGGTTATAATCTTTCAAACAGTAAAATTATTGTTTTGTATGTTCTACGTATACTCACACATGAAAAAGTTGAATTTTTGGGTTTTAAAATTGTTCAGAATTCATTGTCCGTAATTCAAAATTGTTCAGAATTCATTGTCCTGAGATGATGTGCATCAACCCCATGCCAACCCCCACCCCCACCTTAATCTTAGTATCCCGAGGGGTTATAATCTTTCAAACAGTAAAATTATTGTTTTGTATGTTCAACGTTACTCATGCACACATGAAAAAGTTGAATTTTTGGGTTTTAAAATTGTTCAGAATTCATTGTCCGTAACAGTGCATTTACCAGCACTACAAAACATGCTCATTACAAAACATAATTCTTCCCAGTATACTGCACTTCCCTGACTGGGGAGGGGGAATTTCCACATAAGCGATCTATATCCACTCCTCCCCATACTTGACTCTTGCATGCACCTCCCCTGCCTCCTTCCAAATTATAAATTTGGTGCTGTTGACATGAAGTGCTCCTCAATTTTAAATTTCAAAACTTTCCTACTGTGCCTATGGTGAGTAATTAAACCTTAAGAAATCTGTCACTATAAAAATAATGTCAACTGCATAAAAAAGATTCAGAAGTTTGTTTCCAAGATGTTGACACATTACTTAATACTGAATGTATGTACAGCAGGAAATTGAAAAAGTTGTTAATTTAATTTTAATTTAATTTAATTGCTTTTCCATCACTACTGTACAGAAACATACACACATGTCACATACACACATATACATACATAACACAATGACATAAACTGAGTTGATGGTTGGGTATCCGCAACAGCCTGAAACCAATTACTGCGGGCCCAAAACGTTAAGAGACAAATATCAATAACACAAATAACAATTAAACCATAGAGACTAAAAACAACAGTTCATCGAGTTTGTTAAAGTCCTTGCTCTATTGCATTTCGGGCAAATCGTTTTAAAAGTTCGTACATCATCACAATCGTATGTGTTCGTTAATGCAGTATGGTAGTACTCTCGCATTACAGACTTGAATGCGTTGAAGTTCTCCATACTCAAGTCAAGTATGACCGTCAATGTGTTCCATGTTCTGATGGTTCTTATCAAGTATGATCTTTGGTAGGTTGTTGTTTTGCACCGCGGGACTTCGTACTTTACACCTTTCGTGTTAGTGGACGATCTTGTATATATTGTTGTCTTGGCGTGCAAGGCAAAGGACGAGCTGGTAATGCCATGAGTTACTTTGAAGAAATGAATCATATCAAGGTATTCATGCCAGTAACATATGGGCAGCAGATGGAGAGTTTGCAATCTGGATTTGTAATTTACTGAACTAATAAATGGAAGATTAAGAATGTATTTTGTTGCACGTCTTTGAGGTTTTTCTAGTTTGAGCAGAAGTTCGATAGATTGAGGTGTCCAGACTTGCGTCGCGTAACCAAGATGTGATCGTACCAGTGACAGGTAAATGGTTCTTCTTGTTTTAATGCTGTTAATTGTTCGTGTGTTCCGTCTGATGTAGCTAAGCATTTTATTTGCTTGTGCACACTGTTCGTTGACATGCTTGTTCAATGTCAAATATAATGATGCTAGTGGAGCGTCATTCATAAAATAGGTGGTAGGGATTGGATTGGTTTTACGGGTAATGGATTGTGCCTTGCATTTTGCTTCGTTGAATTGTAAGCCAGATTCAGATGACAAGATCCCCAAGTTAGTGATATCTTCCTGTAACTTTATTGCATCATTGGGCGATTGTATTGCCTTGAAGACTTTGGTATCGTCCGCAAACATTGCAACACGACTTGACTTCACATTGCTCGGCAGATCATTGACGTAGAGGAGGAACAATGCTGGACCAAGTATTGAACCTTGCGGTACACCAGACGTGACAGGAAGTAGGTCTGACGTTGCTCCTAACACTGTAACGCGTTGTTTACGATTTTCTAGATAGCAACGAAACCATCTGAGGAGATTACCTCCAAAACCATAGTCTTTCTGCAGCTTTCGTATTAATACATCATGATCGACTTGTCGAATGCCTTTGACATTTAACAAATATAAAACATTTTCCGTGTTGATATACAGTTATATCAACACGAGTGGAAATTGGGAAAACGAGAAATTGTGTGGAAACACGACGCCCGAAGGGCGGAGTGTTTTCACACAATTTCGAGTTTTCCCAACTTCCACGAGTTTTGATATAACTATATATCAACACGGAAAAAATGTTTTATATTTGTTTTATAATATAGCAATGTCAAAAGCCCGAAGAATAAGAACAATTTCCGTGTTACAAGCGGCGGAAAATTTCCCGTGTTGACATGGAGTTATATCAACACGGCTCTTAGCCAATCAGCGTTCAGAATTTACAAAAGCTATATTATAAATCCATATAAATCATGTCTATATGTCCTCCACTGTCTAAACACGATCCAACGTAGTCAAGAGTGTCGATGAGGTTTGATATGCAAGATCTCCCGGCCATGAACCCATGTTGACACATGTTAACTGCATCATACAAACGAGTTTTTATGTTGTTTAGGACACAGCGTTCCAGAACTTTCGATGTAATACATAATAGGGAAATTGGGCGATAGTTCTCAGCATACTCTTTGTCACCTTTCTTGTGCACGGGCACAATATTAGCCAATTTCCATTCATCTGGTATTGTTCCTGAAATGACTGATATATTGAACAGCTTGCACAGAGAAGGTGTTATCATATCTGCTGTTTCCCTCAGTAGTCTTGCAGGAATACCATCAGGACCTGTTGCTTTGCTTGAATGAAGTGATCTCAACACACAAGAAACTTCGGCTTCACTAAATGTTAAATCAGTCATGATTGGCTCGTCAGACTCAATGACGTCTTCCTCGTTAGCTTTCTTTGTTGAAAATACTGACGCAAAGTAGTGGTTGAACATGTTTGCTATACCATCTGGATTATCGGCCGCCGTTCGTTGTGCTGTATTTGCACCAGGTGTGTTGACGTTGTTTGCGGATGAAATAATGTCAGGGATGTTTCTTGTCTTTGAGCTTCTTTTCAAAACCGACCAGAAACACTTTGGATTTTGTTTAATGTCAGTTCCTAAATTGTTGAAAAACTTTTCCCGACTTTTCCGCAACATATGCTTGACTTCAGATCGCAAGGTTTTGAATTGCTGCTGTAGTCGAAAATTGTTTGGAGAAGCCTTAAGTTTTTGCCGAGCTGAGTCTTTCTTTCTTATGGCGTTAAGAATAGTACCATTAACCCATGGAGCTGGATTGCGTCCTTTGATCTTTTTCATCGGTATATAATGTGAAACGGCTGTTAAAAACGCACCTTTCCATTGTTGCCAGGCGATGTTGATATCTATGGCATGTTCAACGAGAGACGTCAGATTGATTGCGTTCAATGCACGTCGCAGTCCTTCAAAGTCACCAGCGTTGTAGTTATAGACATACCTCCCATCTTTTGGTTTTGCTTTAATATTCTCAGAAAACTCGTAAAGGACTGTTGAGTGATCCGTCATTATTTCAGTTGTCTCTGGGGGAAGTACTTCAGACACAGTGACTAATTCTGGAACAGTTGTGATAACAAGATCTAGAGTTTTGTTGGCACGAGTAGGGATGGTGTTTACTTGAGTGAAATAGTGGTCATCAAGTATGTCAACAAAGTTCGCTTCGTTCGCACCAGATGCATTCAATGTTGCATCCCACGAGATGTTGGGTAGATTAAAATCACCGGATATCACTATGTTTTTAAACTGATCGCAAACTTGATCCAGGAATGTGTTGAGTGTGCTTGTCCAAGTTCGTTCAGTGTCAGGTGGTCTGTAGCAAGAAGAGAAGAGGATATTTTGGTTTGAAGCAGTTTTCACTATTGCTGAAACAATCTCTAATTCTTTTATGTCATCCAGGTTAGAGACGAATTCCTTAACCGAGCTAAACGAACTTGATTTGATTGCAACCAAGACCCCGCCTCCATTTCGTCCAACTCTGTCTTTCCTGAAGATGTTATAGTCAGAATTTAAGATCTCAGAGTTACTTATGTTTTCGTTGAGCCATGTCTCATTTACACATACGACATCCAAATTTTCTCCGTAAACGAAGTCTTGAAATCTTTGAAGATTGCAGATGATCGAATTAGTGGTGACATCTTTGTGGATGCTTTTCAAACTTCTGGCGTTTATTGTGGCACATTTGATGGGAAGTTGTTTAGATGGAGGAGCAGGACCAGGATTGGTTGCGATGTCACCAGCAAGAAGAATACACAAGAGTAGATGGACATTATTGTTTTGGATGTTAAACTGAAGACCATAGCGGTGGTTGGGGGGAAAGGATGATTTTCTTCTAATTTTGTCTCGTGTAGAAATCCATAGGTTGCAAAAACGTTCAGGTATTGTTGTTAATTCTGGAGAAACGGAGAAATCATCAGCCGTTATTCTCTCGTTGATGGAAATGAACACAGGTTTGGATCTTGTTGACAGCCAGAGAGATACCACGAGACACACCATCCAAAATGATGCCGAGATGGCAAAGGATTGGCAGGTTTTACGCATTTTTATACTTCTTATTTCCCAAAATGTTCTAATTAAATCACCAAATGTTCTTATGATTGTTCTAATAGATGACCGTTATTGCACGTGTAATGACGTATATGATCGTTTGCTCACGTATGTTGTTTGTAATTTGCCGCACGCGCTGGAATCAAACGCAGTTCGTAATAACGTTCCTTGAATCACGTAGCCCGTATGCACACGCCAAAATCAACCGTCAACTTGCGCGTGCTCAAAATATATTGCAAAATTCCTTTCAATTTTACAAATAATCCAACAAAATAAAGCGTAAATATTCAAAATTTTACCAAATCAACTTCACTTTCCCAGAGGCAAACACTTTAACCACAATTATTGTGTGATGCCAACCCACAAAGTCGTAGAAATAAGGTAAAACGATTGATGGTTTTGCGGTGCGATTTGACTCGCCGCTCGCGCGCCACGCGCGTCACGTCATAGGAGGTCACGTTGTTAGGAGGTCATGAGGGAAACTCTGAAAGCCCTTGAATGAAAGCTGAATAACTGTTATTTAAAAAAAATGTTGAAGAACTAATTTTGCAAAGTCTCTGTCAAATTAAACTAAATAATTATATTAATTACTTTGTCCGCATTATAACACTTTCTGTTTGTGGAAACACCACGTAAATTTATTAATGCAAAGCTTAGGATGAAGCAACTATTTTGGCGATTGATAGTCATAAGTTCTCTCGCAAAATGAGAGAGTCAATTGAAATTGAGAAGCACAATACTATTGATCAGGAGGGAAAGCCACTAGATAGTACGTGGCGTGCTCTCTTTAATGTGCAAAATTAATTTCTCTTGTCCTGGATGCGCGCGCGTTAACTGGAATCACTTCACTACGTTTGGAATGACGTGGTTGATGTGCCGTTTAATTAAATTTCAAATGACGCAAGCCAACAGATCACGACACTTTTGTATATAAAAGAGCGTGTGAATTAAACAAGTCATATTATCAGCACAGAATAGAAAGTACGACCAGAAGTCTCACTGAGCCAAAATTATGTCCGTGATTTTTATGCGCAGGCGCGAACCAGCAAGTGTAACCACGAGCCATCAAACCATAGAAATAATAGATATAGAATGCGTACTTGATCACGAATCATGTCTCCCACTTTTTCTCATGCGTGCCCTTATAAATCCGCCATGTTGAATTTGTCTAGGAGCGCCAAATACAAAATATAAACAAAGCTAAAACTACGTTTTCATCGTCTAATTTGTAGTTTGGGGATAGATTTTAAGTTATTTGAAGGCACAAACTGTCATGTCCACAAACTGAACATGGCCACACATTAGATCTTATCATAACACGTTCATCAGATTCTATTATTTTGAACGAACCAAAACTGGGCCCCTTTCTTTCTGACCATTGTATTATAAATTGCCACCTTAATGCAAGAAAAGCTAAACCTACAATTAAGCAAGTTACATTTAGACGGACCAAAGCTATTAACATTGAGACTTTCAAAACTGAGCTATTAGCATCTGATTTGATTGTTAATACCCCCTCATGCCTGGATGAAATAGTTGGTTTATACAATTGTACTCTGGAATCCATGTTGGATAAATTTGCTCCAGCTATTTCGAAGACAGTAGTGATTCGTCCATCGGTCCCTTGGTTCAATGATGACATTAGGGGGGCAAAACGCGCTAGACGCTCTGCCGAACGTAAGTGGAGGTCATCCAATGCTCTCTGTGATCTAATGGAGTATAGAGTTAAAAGAAATAACTTGAATTTTGTAATGAAACAAGCGCGAACTAATTATTATCAAAATCTTATTGAGGAAAATGGCAGTGATCAACGTAAACTTTTTAAGTTGTCTAAGGAGCTTTTAAATCTGAATCCGAAACAGCTTTTCCCTCAACACTCAGATAACTACATTTTGGCTAACTCTATTGGTTCATTTTTTACTGAGAAAATAACGAAAATCAGATCTGAATTGGATTCAAGACCCTTGTCATGTGATGATTTACCATCTACCAGCGCCAGTCCTAATGCTACATTGACTAATTTTGAACTTTTGAGTGAGACACAGATTCGGAATCTTGCTGTTTCTTCGGTGAGAGGATCTTGTATTTTAGACCCGATCTCTGCTTCTCTGTTCAATGAGAGCTCCGATGTGTTGCTGCCTTTGATTACTACAATGGTGAATCTGTCTTTGCAATCCGGCTGTTTTCCAGATATATGGAAAATAGCAATCTTGAAACCATTGCTTAAGAAACGAGATTTAGATCCGGTCTTTGGGAATCTTCGACCAATTAGCAATTTATCCTCCATATCCAAGCTGACAGAACGTGCAGTTGTTGATCAAGTTTAATGCTATCTGACTACAAACAGTCTCTATATCCTTTATTACAATCGGCTTATAGAAAATATCACAGTACTGAAACGGCCTTGTTAAAAGTAAAGAATGATTTGTTAATGAATATGAACAAGGGTCATGTGTCAATATTGGTTTTGCTTGATATGAGCTCAGCCTTTGACACCGTAGATCACGAGATCCTGATCCAAAGACTTGAGACAAAGTTTGGTTTTAAAGGTACTGTTCTTGCATGGTTTTCATCTTACCTTAATGGACGACAGCAGAGGGTCTTGGTAAATGACTCACTTTCTGATATCTTTGAGTTGAATTGTGGAGTTCCACAAGGATCGTGTCTTGGCCCTTTGTTGTTTACTCTATATGCTAGTGAAATATTTGATATTATTGAGCGTCATCTCCCTGATATACACGCATATGCTGACGATTCCCAGTTGTATATATCATTTAATCCTAATAGCGTTAATGATCAAGAAGCAGCTATCCTTGCAATCCAACAATGCATTGATGAGTTTGAGCAATGATGGAAAAACAGAAATTATTTTAGTTGGCACATCTCAGCAGTTAAAGAAGGTTGGAATTAATACAATGAAAATTTGTAACATAGAAATTACACCAGTTGATGTGGTCAGAGATCTAGGTGTTTGGCTCGATTCAAGACTTAGAATGGACACTCATGTTACTAAGATTTGCAGTGCTGCCTTTTATCATCTCTATAACATCAGACGAATTAGGAAATTTCTGAGCAAGAGCCACACTGAAACACTTATACACGCATTTGTGACATGTAGATTGGACTACTGTAATAGCCTCCTGTATGAACTTCCTGATACCCTCATTTCAAAGCTTGAACGTGTACAGAATGCATGTGTTCGTCTAGTTTATCATGCACCTAAACAATGTCACATTACACCACTTTTGCAGGACCTCCATTGGTTACCTGTTAAAATGAGGATTATGTTTAAGATTTTGCTCCTTACATTTAAAGCTCTTCATCAGCTGGCTCCATCATATTTATCGGAACTTATCACAATTACCACGCCTGGTCGTTACAATTTACGTACGTCTAACAATGGCCTTTTATTATCTCATCCTCGGGGTAAATCAAAGAAAACGCTTGGTGATCGATCGTTCATGGTTGCTGCGCCAACATTATGGAACAGCCTTCCAGCCAAGATTAGGGACATACAACAGTTAACTCATTTTAAATCAAATCTTAAAACATATCTATTTAAGAAAGCTTTTATCGAAAATAGATAATTTTTTTTTAACTATTTCTATGTATATTTAATGTTTTATATCAGTGAACACCAACTAATTTTGTAATTAAGATAATGTAGCTAAACTATGTACCATTTTATTGTAATGCGCATAGAACATTTTATGAATATGCGCAATAGAAATACAATCTATTATTATTATTATTATTATTATAAAGCAACTGTGCAGTTACAAAAACGGTGAAAATAGTGCAGCCTTGTAAAAACAAAGTAGTTTCGCGTAAATATAATTTACTCATAAAACATTTTTGCATGCTCTGAACGTCACTACTTAATTCACTGTTTTGCTAATATTTTATAAGATTACAAAATAATGGTTCTTTCTTCGTCGGCGGGTTTCGTTTTTCTTCAATGTAAACGAAGTGTTTCACATGTTCTTGAAACAAAAACATTTAGTTGTCGATAAACTGTAAATTGTCTAAATAATCGTTGAAAACCATGGTTTCATAAGCGTTGCCTCAAGCTCAAGCAACGTAGAAAAAGATGAAAAGTAATTGTGTAAGTTTAAAAAGCAAGAGTGGGTTGACCAAAGTTTTTGTAGTTCGCTATAACTACAGCTACTTCAAAAATATGTAATCAGCTACAGCTACTGCTACTTTTGAACAAAGGTAGTTCGCTACTGACTACAGCTACTGCTTAAAAAATGTAGCGAACTATTTCGCTACTCTATATTTTTTAGTTTTACGGTATTTTAAGCATCCACTAGCTCTGGCTGTAATATAACCTATAACAAATCGACTTACGAGTAGCAACAGTAAACAAAAAGGCTCAAAGCAACATTTTAATAAACTTTTCATTGCGCTAAAATAATCTTTACTGTATAAAATAATCTTCTAAGCAAACCGTGTCTTATCGTCATTCTATTCTATGGACGGTTGCTAACAATTTTAAAAAGTAGCGAATAGCGATTCACTGTTTGAAAAGTAGTCGACTATTTTGCTACTTTTAAGCAAAATGTAGTTCGCTACAACTACAACTACTGTTTTACAAAAGTAGTCAAAAACTACTGGCTACATGAAAATTGTAGTTTGCTACAGTAGCGAACTACAACTACTTCGCTACTACCCAACCTCGTTAAAAAGATTATTGAACTTCATTTATATTATAAAAGAGTTGAAATATTTGTAGAACATACCTATTGAGTTTGAGTTTGTCTTCATCTTTTGGGTTTTGTTTTGGCTTGCCCACAACGTTGAAAATTTATTTTTAAACGACGATTTCTGTATATATTCTGTTCAGAACTGTTGCTTTTCGTAAAAAAGCCCACCAGAATGGGCAGGGGCGGAGCGAAGACTATCCTTTTCGGGCGGTGCAAGACAACTTTTTGCCGACAAAAGGGCGTGGCTAGCACGTTGTTAGGGCGTGGTCAAAACGAACCGTATTCATTTTTAAGTGATGTATAACGATGAAATCCGAGTAGTAAGATAATTTGTTTTTTAAATAGGCGAAATAGTTCCTTAAAATACCTGGTATAAATGTCAAAAAAGCACATCCAATCGTCATCAAACGACCGATTACAAACTAAACACGTCAGTTTCTCTCTCTTCCGTTTGCGTTTTTGCTTGCTACTGTCCATTCTTTTAAATCATCTTCGTATTTCTCATTGTATATAAGACCGTTAGGGGTAATTTCTAAGACCTTTACTGGCTTTACAAAATTATAAAATGAAGAGTTTCCTATGGTATCATATTTCACAAAATTGCAAGAAAATTTAATACTATTAAATAGCGTATTGGAGTAATAAGTTCTCGGCCAATTTGGTTGAATGTTTGGAAAAGGACCGAGCTTTCAGTCGACATATCCCTCTTTTCGATCTCGCATTTTCTACAAATTTTCTACAAACGATCTGATTACAATCAGGTATTCCCTATTGGCTTGATCCAATTCATTATGTTCAGTTTCCAAAGATATGTGTGGCTTGGTAGTGTAACTTGCCACCCAGAAAGGAGTGTCATTGTGGAATAAATCTGCAATAAACAAGAGTAGATTAATTATGTAGGTTGTACAAAAATCCACCAGAAACATAATTAGCATATGATCAAGATAAATGGAACCAGGGGCATAGGAACCGGGGGAGGCAAGTTTTGGCAAGGGCCCTTTTTTCAGGAGCGAAGTGCCCTTTTTTTGCCTGAAAAATTTTCATTAAAATTGCCTTTTTTGCCCAAGAGGTACTTTTGAAAACTTCAAGCTACATTATTTCCTTCGTATTTAGGAAAAAATTGTGGAATATCCGGAAAATTTTTAAGGGTGTGTCCGTAAAATTTTTAAGGGTGTGTCCGGAAATTTTTTTGCAGCCTAAAATGGTACCCTGACCGAAATTTTTTTGGCGACGGGAAGAGGGGGGGGTAGGTCGCCAAAAAAAGTCGAAAAGTTCCCCTCAAAGCCCCCAACTTTTCGAAGGTTCCCACGCCCCTGAATGTGACCTAACTTCTCAGCTTAAACTAGGGGTATCAGAACTATGACTCATTGAGTGCACTTATAAAGGTACATTGCTCATTCACAGTGATATTTTAATACTGAGAAAACTTGTAAGAAAACAGGCCATCCTGGAAATGAGGTTTATGTCTGTTTATAAAACGAGACCTCAGGAGTCAACCTTTTAAACATTATTACACTAGACAGTTCGCACTTTAAAGACCGTCTTAATCCTGGTATATGTGACTGAATATCGATCAAAGCTTCGTAGTTTGTAACCAAATATTTTGCGATACGTCACAAAATAAAGCTCTCTGATTTGCTGAAAATGTTTAAAATTTCAAAAAAACTCTCCGATTGGCTGGCTGAAATTTCCCAGCGAATCAGAGAGCTTTATTTTGTGACGTAACGCCGGGAGCCATCATCCCGCATAGTTTTGTTCAAATCGAGTACGAATTTTCCTCGGAATTTTCGCAAAATTAACTCGTTTAAAAATGAAAAAAACACAATATAGAAGTATTACAGTTATTTCTTACCATAGTGAGTTAGTTTTTTTAATGAATTTCGATGTTTATGTACGAGTTTTTCGTCATTAAGTTTGTGTATACAGTTTTAAATTTGTATTTACTTGCCAACCTTGGGGATATATATTACACGGCAAAAAACGCCGAGACCGTTGCTCAACAGGACTGAACAGGGCCGTAGCAACCGGGGGGGGCTGGGGGGGCTGCAGCCCCCCAATAATTTGCTAATAATCATTCTTTTTTCAAAATCATGCAAACTTTATCATTTAATCTGTGACAAACTGCAAAGAGTGAAGATATTACTCATACTCCAGATCGTTCCTCGCGTAGAAATTTTAGCTGAATTTCTGTCACGCATTTTCAAGAAAATCCCACAAAATCTGCACATTTTTGATGAACTAATGATTTATTTTGTCTTTTGCGTGTTGGGTCTTGCGAAAGAAAACTCTGAAAATGCCATTTCAGGCCATCTAGAGACTCCAGATTTTCGAAATTTTCTCAAATGTTCTGCCTTCATTTCCGCGCAACTGCCATTTACGACGAAAATTCCCGCCGCGCATTTATAATACTACAGTCTGGCCCATACTTTCCTGTAAATTTCGACATACTAAAACGCTGTTTTCTGACTATCAGAATTCTGTTAAATCTTCCCCCAAAGTCCAGGAAATGGCATTTTAGAGACTCTAAATTTAAAATTTCCTCGGGCCTTTGGCCCTCGCTTTCAGCCCCCAAACCCAAAGAGCAAAAGGCCTCCCTGCTGAACAATGTTTTGCTGCCCATGTTGTTCACACTTGTCAACAATATTGAACAATGTTGTTGAGCCTGAATCGGGTGTAACAATATTCTTCAATGTTGTTGACAGCTATGAACAATGTGGGCAGCAAAACATTGTTCAATCCTGTTTTTATCAGTATTGCATCAACCTGAGCGTTTTTTGCTAATGCACAACGCTATTGTGATGTTGCATGTACTTCATGTAATACAAATTATAGAGGTTTTGCTGTACATTGAAGCATTGCATGTCAAAGCATTGTATTTTAAAGCAAATTGTATGGATTTTTTTTTAAATAAAAGACCTTTTCGGGAGACCTATGATCAAACGCGAGCAATTACGCCATCAATTGCCATCACCAGGTAATAAAGATTGCTGTTTTAACCGTTTTGCTGACAAACGCTGACGTGATGTTCGCAGCAAGTGTCACACACGTCATCCAGCGTGCAAAATTCGTGATCCGCAAGGCAAAAATCGCGGACACGAAAATGTTAATTAGGAAAGGTAACCAGTGAGACTTCTGATTGTATTTTTATTCTGTTTTAATTAGCAATGAGGAAGATCCGGGCTTACGGATCGAAAGCTTTGCATTAATAAATTTACGTGGTGTTTTCACAAACAAAAAGTGTTATATATTTTATCACCATGCAATCATACAAAGAACTTATTACTTTGTCATTATTTAAATACAGCTTGTCATTATTAAATACATTTAATATAATAAAAATATAATCTTTAAATAAATTAACACTCTTTGATGAAATTGATATAAAATCAATAAAGTATGTCAATTTATATTTTATAATATACTATATTTATTATCTATGAATGGTATTGAATCTCCTCACCCTCGTGGAGTCTTGCATTATTAATAATAAACAACTGCAATACATGCACATTCATTCACAATCAGGATTTTGTCATTGTAATTGAATGATTCAAGACACCACTCGCATTTTTTGTAGATTTGTGCAATTAACAGTACAGTCTTTCTCGCATAGCCTTTTGTCTGTCTTTGTTTATACTTTGTATATAAAATCTTGTATTTACAAAATGTCCATTTGACCCTTTGCCCTTTGGTGATTTCAATCTTTAAATAATCCACTGGCCCAATTTTGTGCAGCCTTTTAATACATTGTGACACAACGACCAATATGTTTTGTATTAAAAATAAAATTTCCATTGACAGACTGCAGAATTCAACGACCAGAACGACTCTTCGCCTTCGTTGAAGAGTTATTATTAAATACACTCCTATAGTCAGCCATATTTTTTCGGCACAATTTCGTGTTCAATTTCCGCATTCCATTGTTTTCATGCGACCAATCAACTTACTTCTCATTTTGGTTTTCGCCAGGGCCTCCAGCAACGCAGTGTCAGCTGTGAGGCCCTGGAACAGAGGATGACTGCAAACTGGCAGTCGAAAACTCGTAATAATAAATGTATAAAAACCAGAGAACGTCTAAAAACGTATTATAATTCAACAGTTGCATATTGAAGGATGAAGCCATGGACACATGGGGATATTGTGAGAAATTAGTTGGAGTGATAAATTCTCAGTGAAGGATACGAACTGCGAGAACTGGAAATGATACAACTATATCTAAAACATGCAAAAATAACTTTGCTCAAACTCCGAAGTTTGTTTTGTACTTTCAGATAGTTTTGTCATTTACAAAACTCGCTATGAATTCAAGTTCGACCCGAGTTGATATACCTTTCTAATATACCTTTCCAATCTTACCAACACAACTCCCAAAATTGAGAAATTGTTTTATCGCTATTATTGAACTTTATTTTTAGTAACGAGGAGACCCTGAGGATAAGAACAAAGATCCTGAGTATGGTGGCCGCCGAAGTTCTTGAGGGCGAGAATATCCAGTAAGTTTTGTTTCATAGTTTATATATTGGTAATTGATAAAACTAGAATAGTTTATCGCATAGTATTAAAACCTGTCTTTGGGCAATTTTAGCATGGCTAACACGAGATATGATATTGAATTGAATAAACCTCGTTCTATTGCATATCTTTCACTGTTTTTTGTCACATTTGAAGCTGAGCGGCTCTGTCCTAAATTGTTGCAGTTTCAACATGGTGGATGTCACCAAATGAATATTATTGTGGCAATATGGCCAATAAATAATATAAAATATGGCCAATGAATAAGGCCAATGAATTGTTAGCGAGTGAAAAATAACAATTGATATGAATTCAAACAATCACCTATCTACACTAATGGACATGGTAGGACACTGCAAAAAATGATGCGCAAGATTTTGCGTAAATATCAACGACATGCACGTTATGATACGCTATCACATGGTATGACATGGGATACGACTGAAAATATATTCAGATCGCAATTGGCTTTTTTAGAAAACGTATTTCATTATTCGCTTATAAGAATTTTCACCATTTTTTTATGATAATTTTTTGGCCGGTTCACGGTTAACAGAACTATTAAACCGTGGCCAGATCAGTGAACTGGGCCAGATTAATGAATGCTTCACACAATTTCAAGTCTTTCAAGCTGGCGATAGATTGGAAGCGCTTTTTTTGGTGTATCTATTTTAGAAGACAAGGGCCACGCACGCAATGAGTCACAATGTGGGATATCGTGTTCAAATGTCAAGTGTGATTTTCAATTTTTCGACTTTTACGTTTGAATCATTTCGCTGAAGAAAATCACGAGGAAAAGCTATATTTCTTATTGGATAAGTGACTCTGAAACCTGCCAAAGGCTTATTCATCTCAGGTATGAAATATTACTGTTTATATCATATAATTAACGTCCGTCGATCCTATTTTATACTCATTTTATCTTGTGTCTTTTGGCTGTTGTGTTTGCTAGAATTTGAATTTGTGCACGCGAGTTAGTTAGTAAATTTAAAGTGCTTTCTATTATATTAGTATACCTAGTATAGAGGAAGACCTTTTTAAGCCAGAACTATCATGAATTTGAATGATTTAATCCATGTACTTAACTGGCCACTGATGGCAATGAAATTATAATGTGTATAGAATTATCAAGTCCATCAAGATCCAAAAATTGGCATTTCCGAATTTTACCAACTTCTGTTGAAGCTAGTTTTATATATAAGACTGATCAGGTTTAGAGGCCTGTAGTATTTTCCCTAAAAATTGCATGAGTAAAATCAATTTCATAATTAACCCATTGACCGCAATGCGCCCTATTTATTTTTCTTACTTCTAACGCCAGACGATATTACCCATCAATGGGTCATTCCAGGAAACATCTATACCACCCCCATGGAGGAAATAGGAAGTTAACCTCTCTACCCCCTTCGGATGTCTTAATACATTTACTATTATTAGAAACAATTTTTTCTCCCCTCATCCTCCAGACGGCGGAAATTTCCTCCGTGGGAAGAGTATGGATTTTTTCTGGAACGATCCAATGGGGAAGCTCTTCAGCTTAATGGGTTAAGAAAATGAAAAATTCTTGATGATATTTGGTGTTGGTAATTGGTAATTCATGCATTTTTGGAGGAAAATTATTTATATAACTATTTTCCTCATTCTTTCAACATGCCAAAGTGATACAAAATAAATTTCAGTTGAATTCAAACAAGGTTACATTTGGGTGTTGGCAAGGTTCATGTAAACTTATTGTTAGCAAGAATGTTATGTGTACACAATCATATGTAATGTCGTATTGGATTTATAGCAGTTAAATGTTGGGATCCAGTGTCGAACAATAACCACAACAATTATATAAATTATTTGGTTGTTTTAGTGTAATATTAATTTCTCACATATTTTTTCAGAAATAAAGCCCCATTCAGCAACTTGTTGGGAAAGAGGAGTCACAAACTGTTGATGAATATATTTAATTAACATCCACATAAAATACAATTTCATTAACAGTGTTACAAAGTTCTTGTGTAAATCGGTCGCAAGCGACACAAATAAAGCCTCATCAAAACAATGAATAATAAAATTTACTTTCAAAACCTCAACACGTTATATCTCTCTCTTTGTCCTTGTCAATCAAAAACCTTTTTATTATCATAACAATACCGTATATGGTCCTTGCATGTTCACGCACAAAACGTTCATTAATAGATTAACTAATATCAATTAAATGGTTCAATAACTTGTGACACGACTCCCCCATTTAGGAGTGATTTACTTGTTAACCCACTCCAAACCACAAATTCTGAAGTGACTATCTGAAAACTACTGTTTAACGTCCTTGTAAAGTTATTGGTGCCCTCAGTAAACTCTGCTTAGAAAGTCCGCACCTACATTCTCTAAACCCTTGATGGACTCAATCCTCATCGCATAACTCTGTAGAAACATAGCCCATCTCATAATACGATCATTCAAAAACTTCGCCCGGTTCAGGTATATTAATGGTTGATGGTCCATCTGGAGTACAAACTCTCTTCCGTAAAGATAGACTCAAAACTTCTGTATCGCCCACACCATCGCCAAACATTCTCTTTCGATAGTGCTGTACTTGCATTCCCTCGGGGACAACTTTCTGCTAGCATAACTGACCGGGAATAATTTTCCATCATGATTCTGCATCAGCACCGCTCCGATTCCAACATCTGAGGCATTGGTTCTCAACATAAACGGCTTGGCTGAATCTGGGAGGTGAAAGATGGGTTCACTCGCGAATTCTCTCTTTAATGTCATGAATGCAGACCTTTGATCCCTTCCGAGACTCGGTGACCGACACCTTCGATGGCTTTCGCGCCCATCACACACTTTGTAGGTCTCGCCGTTAACTTAGCCCCGGACAGCCTGTGAAACAACTCATCCAGGGCTACCAAATGACCTTCCCATGTCTCTGTGTGCACGATGATGTCGTCCATGTAGTTGTCGACATCGTCGAGGTCATCGATCAGTTTCCTCATTCCTCTCGCTAACGTTGCTCCTGAGTTAACCATTCCGAATGGCATTCTGATAAATTCGTAGGTCCCGTCCGGTGTAACAAACGCCGCCTTGGGAACATCTTTCTCCGCAATGGGAATTTGCCAGTACCCTTTGCTCAAATCAATTCTCGTGAAATATTTTTTCTTGGCCATCTTCTGAAATATTTCCTCGGCAGTA